CACCTGAGCTCTCCTGCCACAACCTTGCTCTCCTACCCACTCAGCTTGGCTGAGATGAAATTGCCCTGGTGATGGAGTTGAGCCACCCTGCCAGCTGGGGAAGCTGCCCACGTCACAGACAGGACCGACATGTGCTGACAGAGTGGGACATGGCAGAAGCTTCTCTGGTAGAGAGCAAGGACTGTGTTCAGCACCATCATTCACTTAACATCCCTTATCAGCACTAAATCCCATGCAAAAGACTTCAAACTCATGTGGAGAATGATAAGCAAATTGTTGCAATTGTCCAAATAATTGAAGAAATTTGCATAAAATGCTAAATATGAAGCAGAAACAACCTTGGTGGTTTACAGAAGGCTGGAGTTGGTAGCTGCTCTAGGCTGGATTTTTAAATAGCACTATGCACTGAATGGTCATGCAAACAAGACGGGTAAGATGGATGGGGTAATATGGAGTTTTGAATGTTGCTGCCTCAAGCTTGCAGCAGGTTTGCAAGGAAACTATTAATCACTGGAGCTGAGGAAGCTGTTTGCACAGGTGGGTCATAGGGGCTTTTCTGGGCTTTGAAGGCAAAGGCACTGGCTGCAAATAAGGCTGAGAAATGTCCCATGTACTCTCTGGGCTCTGAGGAGTGAGTCCTCATAGTTTTTTGTGGATTCTTCCCCCCCCCCCCTTATTTTAACCCTAGGAATGTAACTCTGACCCATCCTACAGAGGCAGGATTCAACCTGGACCCTTTCCAACAGCGGATTTTTCAAAGACACTTCATACAAAGGGCTTTGAATAACTTTCTTGAACTATCCATCCTAAGGTCTTTCTAACCTCATCTTGTCTCAAACCTCAGACCTGAGCCTTTCCTGCTGCAGCTGGAGCCTGGTGCTTCTTACCTTCGACGGCTGCACAGAGAACAGCTGATCACCCTTTCCATTACAACATATAAAAGACTGCTCCTTCCTTCCCGCCCACTCCCCGCCCCCAAGACTTCTTTTTTTCTAGGTTATATGGACCCAGCTTCTTCTCTCCTTCCTCTTAGCTCAAGATTTCTGTGTATTTACCCTTTGTACTGTTTTATTCTGGACTTTTCCGCTTCTGGACCTCTGAAGGTGTCCTGGCCCTGCACAGGCAGTGCAGAGCAGTTGCCTCCTCTGCCTTGCACCTAGCACCCCGGGCCAACACCCAGCCCTTTTGCAACACCTCCGCACTGTTGGCGAAGCTTCAGTTTGCAGTACTCTGCAACCCCCAGATTTTTCCCTGCCATTCTCCTGCCCAGTTGGTTATTCCCCCTTTCTTCTACCTACATCTCGCTTTGCTTTGCATTTGCATTTGTTCTTGCTGAGCTGCATCTTGCTGCTTTCAAACCATTTCTCTGGCAGTTGAGATTGCAGTAAGCGCAGCCTCCAGAGTCCCTGCAGTCACCCTGTCCCAGAGAGAACATGACTCACTCCGGCAGTGCCCACTGTTATTTAGAAGGGATAAATGCAGAACTGGATGGCCCCATCCTCCCCCTAAGAACCTCGGGAAATATCCCTGCTCCATCAAGCTGCTGTTATGGCAGTAATCTAACACTCCTGAGCTCATCCAGTGCCACTGGCAGTGGCTTCACAGCTAATGTGCTTAAGATCAAGAAACCTAAATGATCCCAGAGAGAAAGTCAGGGAACATTATTCATAGTGTAAATTTAGTCACCTAAATCAAGCACAGGGATTAGGAGGCTGGCTCCTGAGGTTCCCCGGATGGCAGGGAGAGAGGGAGAGCCTGGGAAGGGACAGCAGGATATCATCTTCTCATATTGTGCCTACAGCAGGTTCCCAGGGCAACATCTAGAGAGCTGTGAGCAGATGCTGGTGAAGCCACATTGGTGGTTTTGGCTGCTCTGGTCTGGGGGATTGCAGCTCTCTCCGGAAGAGTGGCACAGGGCACAGCCTGTGAGGAAGCAACATGGGTCCTGCCCAGCCCAGGGGAGAGCTGTGAAAGCTCTGCCCACCTTCCTGAAAGGAGACACCGTCTCATTCACAACACTTCTTCATTGCTCATAAACAACAGGAATTTGTTAGCATTGCAGCCACTTTGAGGGTGAGGAGTGTGTTTGGGCAAGGAGGAAAGAAGGATGCTCTCTTGCTCCCATTCAGCAAGACCAAGTGTCCAAACCCTCTCCAGTGATGTTGCTCTCTCCTGAGCTCTCTCCATCAGCTGTTAATAAAAGCTGAGTTCTGGGCAGACCAGGGTGCAGCTCCAAACTTTTCTCCTGCGGATCAAAGAATAGTCTTTGCCATAGCCATGTTCTGGCCAGTTTTGCACTGATCCCTCAGCTCCTGCTGGGACACCCAGCTGCCCTCACCACCTTCCCCATCGCCTCCCCTCAGCCACTAGCCTCACTAGAGACAAAAGGAGGGAATTCAGCTAAATAAGCCGAATAATGGAACAAGGATTATTTTCCCTAAGGAAGAAGCTCTCTGCATCCTGGCCAAGCAATGACAGTCTGCAGAATGGGGTGGGCCAGGCTGTCTCTGAGACCCACTCAGTGGCAGAGAAGCGTGGGTTTTCTTGGGACAGAGGGAATCCATCAGCATGCATCCTGGAAAGGAAGTGCCGTGTGGGGTTGCAGAGTTCAGAGGAAGTGTAGCAATGCAGCAAGTGAATGGATGCTTCAATGGCTGTGCTGCTAGCTGGTGCCTTGGGAACTGAACATCACATGAGCCCTTCCTCTCTGCCTTCGGCTGCTAAATTCCCAGAGGAGCCCTGCCTGCTACAGGGGTGCTGCATTGCCAGGAGATGGGGTCCCTCAGGGTGGCTCATGCTGAGCAAGCAGACTCTTGAAACATGTTTGAGAGTGTGGAGGATCCCAGCATGACAGGATTACAGCATGCTGGGAGAAAAAATACACCCAAGGCTGTGAAATGTTCAGGTAAAAAGGCCAAGGGTAGTGCACCAGTCACACAGGATGTTTCTAAAGAGGGAAATGGGCCAATATGGTGCAGTTTTGCTACTGAAGCTAGGCCAGGCGATTTCCCTAAGCCACCCAGCCAGTAGCCAGCCCCATGCAGTTCTTGCTTTCAGACATGTTTGCCCCTGCATAGGCTCCATGAGTGGCAGGGCTGGCAAGAAACACCAACAGTGCCCATGCAACCCTGCACTGTGCTCCAAGCGTGTGCTGCACTGTGTGTGTGCTTTCTGGGCTGCAATAAGGTTGCAGACCCAAGGCTGCCAATACTTTTGCCCTGATGACAACTGCATCTCAAGTGCCCTTGCTGATGTCCTGCTGCTGAGACTTGCTCACTGCTCCTACTTGAGGCAGCAGAAACTCAACCAAAACACCATTATGCAACAAGAACAAGGAAGTGGGAGCTGGGAATTGCTGTTTTCCACAGAAGTGGGTTACTGTGGAGGTGTTCATGCCTGTTTCTGTATCTGCTTCTCATGGCACATGTGAAAACTTGGCTGCTCCAAAGATGTGTGCTCCTGTCTGTGGATGGAGAACCTGTTAGCACATGGCCCTGGCTCATCCTGCTGGCTCTGGTGACAGGAGCAGATCAGAAAGCAAATGGCTCCTTCTCTGGCAGTCCTTGCTCCTGCATTATCACTTCCAGAGCCACTAGCGTAGCGTACCTGAGTGCACTTCTGAAGCACTGCTGTCACAGGGCTGCTTGCAAGTCTTCAGTCTACTGAGGCTCATGATAAGGGTTGAACTAATCCCACACAGCACAGAACAAGGTAGTAACAAGGTGATGCAAAGCAGCTTCACTTTGCTACTGTCTGCAGAGGCCATGCCAAAGTTGGGTGCTAGGAAAGGGACAATAGCAATGAAACAACCCCCAATGTGCTACAATGTTCCTACTTCCCATAGTCCTGTCCCATGTCTTCTGCTGCCAGCTGTGGGGAGAGGGGGCTAGAGGAGGGTAGACAGGGAGTCAGGACAGTCGCATCCCCTGGGGTGTAGCCAAGGTCATACTATGGCATAGAGTGAGTATTAGGTCTCAGGTTTATCTCCTGGGTCCATAAACCATTATGTTTACAACACTTTAATTTGTGTGCTAGGGTTGATATTACCCTTACGGGCCAGTGTAGAGGTACTAATGAATGTTTTAAAGTCCTAAAGATCTTTGCCATATAGAAAATACCAGTCCTACCAAAACTGGTCAAAATGTTCTACGATCCTGAGCCTTTCTTCTTAGGTGGCACTGGTGCTTCATCAGACACAGAAGAGCTGTCTGCTCACAGAGTGTTTATGTGACACCTGCTGAGTACCAGTCCCTTCCCTGGGACCCGCGTCAATGGTGTTGGGGGTGGCGGGAGGAGTGGGTGGGCTGTGGGAAGGTGGGCTGCTGCCTGGGAGTTTCCCTGGCTGGGCTGGGGTGGCCGAGGCTGCCCAGGACTGGACCAACTTCCTGGCCACACAGGGCTAGCACGGAATTTCTGGGCCACACAGCCCTGGAATTTCTGGGGCTCCCAGCAGCACCTCCTCCGCACTGCCCTCCTTTGAGGGTCCCGGTTTCACAGCCAGAGCTGGGGCTTTTCTTCCTTTCCATCTCTGCTGTTTGTCTCAGAGAAAACCCATCTAGCTGTTTTTCAACTGCCTGAAGGTGTTTTTCGGGGGTTTTTCAGGCTATTTTGAAGCTCATTTTTCCCAGATGTGCTTTTTTTTCTTCTTCTTCTTTTTTTTTTTTTTTTTTTTTCTTTTTTCTTCTTCTGTAACTTTTCTTCTTCGCCTTGAAGTTTCCGGCCACGTGACTTTCAGCTTACATCCTCAAGGTTCTGAGAAACCACAGGAGGCCAAGACCTAAAGGGAAGGTGCAGAGTCTCCGAGAGGAGAGGCAGAGAAAGTGGCAGAGCGTGGAGCAGGAGGAGAGTGTGCCTCTGGGACAGGCAAGAGCCAGGAATCCAAGGGCCATCTCAGTGAGGACAGAGGAAAGCAGGGAGAGGGAAGGGCAGCAAGACAGAACACGGGCACACCAAGAGCAGAAAGGAAGCTGAAGAGGCCCTGGGAGCCAGAGACGGGAGCCATGCCCCACAGCTCCGACAGCAGCGACTCCAGCAGCTTCAGCCAGTCTCCCCCTCCCAGCAAGCAGGTAAAGCAGGGACCCCTCCCCAGCCCTTCCTGACTGGACAATCATTCATGGTGGGTCTTGGGTGGGCAGGAGGAAAGGTGGCACCCACCACTGGCATTTTCACAGTACAGTATGTCAGGGCTTTCTAGGAACAGCTGTGGGGAGAAGGATGAGTGGCTGAGCTGAAAGCCCTGGCCACTGAGCTGGCCACAGGTGGAGAGACGAGGCCTGGTTACCTGGGGCTGTGCCAGGTGCAACTGAGGGGCTGGGACCCCCAACACAGTGAGACATGTGATACACACTGGGCAGGGAGAAGGCAAGAAGGGTGTGTGTAAGAGTTAAGGCTCTGGAGAGGAGCCTGAGCATGCACCACCTCTCCATGGACCAGGATGGCCCAGGTCCATCCTGCCTGCTCCCCACTGCTGCAGAGAGCACTTGGGACCCACAAAAGCCATGCCATTTTGGGTCTGCTGTCATTTCTGTTCAGCCTCAGAGGTTTTTCATCTCAGTAATGCTTTACAGAGGGATTTTATTTTGTTGCACTGACTACCTTTAATGGTAGGTGTTTTGCTGGCAGATACTGACACAGGTCTGAGGTATGTCCACTGCCTTTTCTGGATAAGCTTTATTTTATCTGTCATTTGCCATTTCTTTAGGGCTGGAAACAATGGCAAGTACTTGAGATTTTGCTCAGAAATCTTGGGAATGGTCATGGCAGATGATTTAGGCTTGCAACCAGGGATGAGGAGGCAACCTGGTAGAGAAAGGGATAAAGTGGAGGGCTCGCCAAAGGATGGTGCTGTATCTGAAACATTTGTTGGGTATTGAAGACAAGGATAAAACAATTAAGTTCAAGGAAAAGAGAATTTCTTGGGTGGGGTGGAGTGGGGAGAGGATGTGGACAGACTGATGGGCTGGGAAGATAACTTTTGTGGCTGAGTTTTTTAGTCCTGTGGAGAAGTGGTGGTGTGAATGTTAGAAAGTCCACAAAAGAGTCAGTGCAATATGAAAATAGAAGATGAAAGAGTCTGTGTGACAGTTTCAACTGCCAGAAGGCAGCAGCAGGCCCAGTTCTCAGCAGAAAATGGCTGTTGCATGAAGCTCAAGACCTGAAGCTTGGAGACCTGTGCTCTCCCCTGTCCAAGGGCCTTGGGAGTGTTGCAGTCAGCACTGCAAGCATTGCTACCAAGGGACTCCAGAAAAGATCAAGCACAGAGATCAGAGAGCTAGACCAAATAAAATCTGGGGAAAAACAAAAAGCCCTCTCTAGCTAAACAAAGCAGGGACCACATTGCACTGCAAGTGTCTGCAACAAATAAAGCCTGTAGGAGAAGAGTGATGGAGGGTGGATGGGACCTAAAGGGATGAAAGGAAAAAAACACAAGCTGAAACTCTGGAAAGATGATTTAGCCAAGAAGCTGGAATGTCTGCAGTGCTGTATCCCTGCAGAGAGACAGGAAAGGGAAAGGTTTTCTGTACAAGGAATTCAAATTGTCTCTCTTCTAGAGAGAGGTCCTTACTCTGGTCCTTCAAGCCATATCCCCCAGGCCTGTATCTTGGTGGAGGGAGAGTGGTCTTTTCCCATCTGTGATGGGATGCCCAAGGGTATCAGATTTGCCCCTCCTCATAAGAGGGATGCCAAAAGCATCACACAACCCTGGGGTATGGCTTTATCCTGACACTGAAGGTATGTATCCCATGTCCTGTGCTTCAATGATGTTATCTATTGTGTCATCTTCCCACACACTGCCCTGCAGGAGAAGGGTGAGGGAGGGAATGCCCCAGTCATTCCCATGCCTTGTTTTCCTAGGACTCTTCTGATGACATGAGGAAAGTCCAAAGGAGGGAGAAGAATCGCATTGCTGCCCAGAAGAGCCGCCTGAGGCAGACCCAGAAAGCAGACACACTGCACTTGGTGAGCACTCCTACCCTGCCTTCCCTGTTTTGGGTGCTGAGGGCTCATATAGGTGACAACATGCTTTTACCTTGGTGACTTGGAGTGAAGACGATCAGTTGAGGCAGGACAGGAAAACTGAGGCCAGGGCAGGATGTAGGAGTCAATGCTTGCAGCAAGAACACTCAGCCCAGCACAACTGCCACTGAAACATCTACTTTTGCAGCTAGTTTTGAATGCATCTTTTTCTTTCAGTCTGATATTACCCATTTCCTCTCCAAACCTCTTCTGACTGGCTCAGTCAGAACCTCTTTGAATGCACAGGCTCACCTGGGGTGGCTCTCCCTGGGTTTGTTCTTTTGTACCGTCACTTATGCAGCAGTTCCACAGCATACAAGGATGCTTTGTAGTCATTGGTGTGGGTGATGGCACAATGTGGAGCTGAATGGGCCATCCCCTCTGGCCTGTTCTCTGAGACAGCTTAAATAAATAAATATGATTAATTTTCTAGTATTTTCAAATGTCTCCATGGTAGTGCTCATCTCCTTTGCTACATCTGAACACTACAGAACCTAGAGGCTTTTTCTGTTGTTTAGCATGGATTTCCCCCCCCTTTGTGTTCACCCTGCTGTCCCACTCTCCTCCTGTGGCACCATGGGCGCCCCTGTAAGCTCTTCCTGGTGTGAGGAATCAGGTAGCTGCTTTCCAGGAGGGATGGTCACTTCTGGCTGTGTGTGTTTGGGCAGGCATGCTTGGTCAGTGTCGGAGCACGGGACTGGGCTCCTTTTGCCTGTTGGTAAGCACAGTCCCACGTGTTTTGTGCCACTGGTGGGCAGGATGCAGAACACACAGCCTGCAGTGGGACAGAGACCATCTTTATCCCTGCTTCTCTTTGAGAAGTGGTAGTTGGGCTCATGTCCAAAAAAATATCTTTTGACTTAGCAGCCTTCACATTCCCCCAGATCCCCATTTTTGGGAAAAATTATTGAGAAGTCAGTCCTGAAGCTTCCTCCTTCTGTACTGCCCTACTACTGTGGCTTAAGACAGAGATTTCACTCTTTCTCTCAGTAGCTGATGAACCTTCTAGAGCGGACATGGCTCTAGGCTGAATACATTGTGGTTGTCAGCAGTGATGGCTCTGGGTGACTGTGCCTGAGAGGGGTGAAAAGACACTCTCTCCAGGGTCATCTTAGAGGTGGATATGATCTTCCCTCAGGAACATCCTGCCTGGCTGTGGGCCAAGAAGAATTGAGCTCCTCTTCTTAGAGCAGATGACCATCCACTTGCTTACGAGGTTACTACTGCTCAGCTAGCATAGCCAGCACACACTCCTTGCCTTCCCATGGGGACAGGAGCCGGGGGCTAAGCCAAATTTGGTTCAGACAGAGTGGATCCTGGCAGGCAGCTGCAGAAATGCAATGAGGGAGGTAAAGAATGGACAGTAAATTTTTCTTAATATTTTCCTAATTGCTGGTGGACAGTAGTGCCCCTCCTGCTCCTCAGTCCATTCCCAAAGTGGTCTTTGCATTTGGTTGGCTCTGCACCAGGGACTTCGCTTCTCTGTTGCAGTTCTGCCCAGAACAGCATGGCTCAGTTTGAGCTATGGTAGTATGAAAGGAGCCAGCAGCTGTATCTGCCCCAGAACTTTGTAGCTTGTGTTTTGAGGAGAATGAGTCATGGGGAGGCTGGGATACTGGGCCCCTGGGTGATTCCTATCAGCTCCTGAGTTTGACGTCAATAATGATTTCCAAAGCATTTAGTCACATCTGAGAGGTGCTCATCTGCTGTGTGATCTCCTCCTGTGACAGCTGCTGTACCTGCTGGGGATGCTTCAACCTGTGCGCAGGGAGCAGGCACAGGCAGGTCGGGTGGGGCAGCGGAGGGGACAGCTTCGCTTTGCTGAGTGGTGCAGCTTTGCAGGGCCTCAGAGCCCTGGGTCCCACTCCAGCTGTCTGGGCTGGGTTTGCAGAGCCTGCTGCTGCCTCCTGCCTCCTTCCTCTGGTCTTGCCCAGGATGCTGCTCCATGGTCGGTTGGTACCTGGGATGCTCCAGCTTGGAGTTGGCTGCACTTGGGAAGCAGTAGTGGTAGCAAAGGCTGGGATCGTTGAGGCGAGGCTGAGCATCATTATGAACCCCTTTGTTGTTATTCTCATTAGTAATAGCATTAATTCAGTTCTTCTGAGCCCTCGGTTTCTCTTTTCTTCTGACTCAAGAGTGTCCCCCTCCTCCCCGCAGCGCCGCTGGTTTCCCCGGCTGCTAGCAGGAAGCAGTGAGTCTCTTCTTTCCAGGGCAATGACAGGTTTCCTGTGGCAGGTGGTTTTCTGGTTAAAGACGGCGGTTATTCAGGCGCCCTCCCCCCGGCCGGGCGGCCCGGGAAGCGGCCGGGCTGCGTGTGTGAGAGGGAGCGAGAAAGCCTGGGCGGGAGCGGACCCAGTCACTTCTCGTAAGCCGGGGCCGGGGATTGCGGCTGGGGCCGCCAGCATCGCCCTCGCCCGGCCCGGCCCGGCCCGGCTGCAGGAGGGGGGGTTTGCCCAGGGGCGGCTCGGTGCCAAATTTACCGGAAACGTCTCATTCGTGAAACTCTGCGGGGCTGAGAGGTGCGGGACCGGCTCGTCCCTGAAGCTCCCGCACTGAGGAAGCCCCTGTGTTTTTTGTCTCCTCAGGAGAGTGAAGACTTGGAGAGGCACCACCGCCCCCCGAAGTGCTTTATGCCACACACTCCTTCCACCAGCCCCACATCAGCTCCCCACGCTTTCAGCACTGAGTCAGCCAGCCGGACAGCTGCCTGCCGGCTCCACCGATGACAAGAAGCAACTTCGTGGGGCTCACTTCTCCACCCAAGGGACACCGAGGGACGGACGGACAGACACCCCTTCTCAAAGTGTACACTCTGAGTGACTCGCCGAAGACTTGCTCCCTGTGCAGAAATGACAGAGCCACCAGGAGGCATCTCTGAGCAGTTTCCAGCTTGGATCCTGGGAGGAGAAGGCATTGGCAAAAGGGCACCAACCCCTTCTCCAGTGCTGGCCTGGGGACGCTGGCGGAGCGTGTGGCCCCGGCAGCCTCAGTGCGAGCGGCTGGCGCAACAGACCGAGCTCCGGGGAGAGGAGCGGGAGCAGGGCTAAAGGGGAAGGCTGGGGGCCACGGAGTACCGGAGCAAAATTGGTTTATTTTTGTAAAATAAAGATTGAAAATGCTTAACTCTTTGTTTCCAACATAGGAAGGACACAGGTGGCAGGAGAGGAGGGCTTGGAGTCCAGGGAAGAGTCCTTCGTGTGCTAGTATTTCATACTGAGCCAGCAGCAGGAGCCCCACATCTAGAAGGGGGCACATGTGCATGGGCTGGGCAGGTTGAGGAGCAATAGACTATGGGGTGATGGGGTTCCTGGGGGAGGTGGGTGCCTGGCTAGAGTCTGACGTGCCACGTAGCATCATATCCCTGCTGACCCACTCAGCTTCCTACCCATGCCCACTACTCACAGCTCTACAAAAGCCTGCTGCACTACCTCTTGCACTGAAGCAGATGAAACCTGAAAGGTCAGTGAAGAGTAGAGTAGCTCTGCCGTGTCTGACCTAGTGGAAACACAAGCTGATCCATACAGCTGGTCTCTACACCTAACACCCCACCAGCAGTCTGTCTGTCAGCCTTGCTCTACACTCAAGGCTGAAGCCCACCTGCCAGTGCAGGTCCTGCTGCTAATGCTGGCACAGGACAACTGCCATCTCCAAGGAGCATCAGCTGCAATTTTTTCAGCATAGGGTACCACGTGCAGGGCTGCTGGCACAGGCTTTCAACTGAGCTAAATGGACCCAATTTGTAGATACCCTTCTTTCAGGCACAGAGAAATGGTTCCAGATAGGTTTTGCCCCATCATCACATCCCTCAAGAGCAATTGGGAAAAGCCTGTCAGGTGCTGTGCAGTGCCCGTTTTCTCTCTTTGGTGTGCACTAGTGGGATGATAACTGACCATTGCTGTGCCTCAGCAAGCTGTCCTCAGGAGAGGCACAGGTAGCATCACAGTTCCTCCTGCCACAGCTTGTTAAAGAGGCTGTGAACCTCCTGCCTCCGGCTTCTGTGCCAGCAGTGGCCAAGGATGCCTGGTGTCAGTGTGTTGGCCACTGGCCCTGTCTGTACAGCTCTGCCCCCTGCCCCAAGAGGGATGCTCACATGATGGTGGTTATTCCAGCTGGGCAGCTGGGTTTCTGCATACAGGACATGCAGAATCCATCTGTGGGCAGAAGAAATATTCTAACTGCATTCACAAAAAAGCAGCAACAGCAATTTTAGTGTGTCTTACACCACTACCCTCTGGCTAGATTTCACACCAGCAGGCTTGATTCCATCTATTGGTACAACAAGCAGGGCTGCTGATTGTCCCCACAGACCGTGCTTTAAGTCACTCACACTACAAAGGCTCTTCCCAAACGGCTTTTCTCTGGGATTTGGCCCTTTAAGCATGGGAGAGACAACTGGCTGCAGCTCTAGAGGAGCTTGTTTTAACAGGCTCTGCTTCTGCTCCTTCAGCTTCTGGTGGGTTTGTTCCAGGGTTTTTCACTTGTTCCTTAGGGCTCTGATGCTCCCATGCTTCGTGGGTTACAAAGAATCAGAAACTCTACTGCTACCCTGCTTGGGATTGCTGTGCAGGGCACTGCAGGCTCATGCTTCTTGCACTGACTTAAAATACAGTATTGCCTACAATAATGATAAAACTCCATCCTTGCTGTGACCTTTGTATTTTCTCATGGCTATAAAATGCTAAGCTTGGTTTTATTTGCAGATGGAGAAGGTCCTACCCTGATGTATATGTATCATCTGTGCCCACACAGACACAAAACCAGTATTTTTGGCGCAGAGCTGTCGAAGTCTGAGATCCTGCAGGCTGGGTGGGGTTTTGTGTAATGCCCACAGAATTGCTAGACTACTCACTTAGACCTATTACTGCAACTCAGAACGAAAATGAGTGGTAAGTGGTAAGACTAGCAGACGGGTTTGCAACAACATCCTCTCCAGAACCTAAACAATAGTCTTGGCATCAGTTAAGGTGCCCTTTCTCTGCATGGCTGGCTGGGAGCTCGAAGGCCTCTAAGCAGCGTTGTGCTCAGTTGTTTTGGCTAAATACTGGATGTGTGGCGGTGTGTGGGTCTTATCTTCCAATCTAACTTGTGTTTGCCCCAGTCTTGCCCTCAAAAACCTGATCACAGAAGATCATATGCATGGTTCAAGCGGGTTTTGACCTTTTGGCTGCTTCTGGTGATTTTAGGTATCTCAGATGTGTCTTTGTTATGAGGAATGGTTCCCCTGGAGACAGTCCTTAGCACCCAAACAGCAAGGGACCATATTCTTCTAGGACCTTCAGCCCTTTCAACCAGTCACGGAGAAAAAGATCCTTTCCTGAGGCTGTTTGCAGAGCTGCACAAGCTACTCGTTCAGGTTATGTGGGGAGATTCCTTCACTTCTCTACCGGTGCTGTCTTTTGTTTCTCTTTTCCAGGCTCCTGGTCTCAGGACTCCTCAGGCAACTAGTTTTTATTTCTAAATAGTCAAGTGTCTGTCCTCTGGTGTGGCCCTCGCTGTTGTCAGTAAATGAACTGTCAATGCACTCAAATGAGGAGCAAAGGGCAGGGTGGTGGCCGGGCAATCATCCCTGATTGCTTTCGATTTTCTGCTCCTACTCACAATACAATTCCTTTTGAACTTAATTTCCATGGCATCTGGCCTTTCTAGAGTGTTGTGTGAGGCCATACCCAGCCTCCAGGAGTGCTGCTTGCTGCTCCAAGGGAAGGGGATGCTTCTGGGCACACAAGTGCATAAATCAGGCAATGGTTAGACCCTGTGGCAGCTCGTCCCTGCCCAAGCAGTATGGCAGTGCCTTTCTGCTGCACCACATAGTCCCTCACTGAAAAGCTGTCCCGAAGCAGTAAAGAGATGAGGGCTCATAGGAGGCTGAGAGACTCTTTTCCAGACGGGGAAAGCCAAGCGGAGCGACAACTCTTCCCTGCAAGCAGAGCCTGCCGAAACACTGCGCTGGTGCTGGCCTCTGCTGGACAAAGGCTGAGCTCTCCCTGCCCGCAACCGCACTGCTCAGCGCCCTCCTCTTTATGCTGCTCCCCTACAGGAGGGCTGGCTGGAAGGTTAGCCTGGCTATTGGAAGAGTGTCTCTTGGAGAGAACTAGGAGGCTCAAAGTTCATGTGTGTGACGGCAAGGGTTGGGTAAGGCTGCCTGAAGGGGGATGTCCAGATGGACACATGGTCACCTGTGTGTAGGCAGGGCTGGGCTGGATGTGGGGACTGAGCACTGAGAAGCATCATAGGTGGAGGGGTAACAGCTACTTGCTTATATAAACATAGACCTGGCTGCAGCCCTAATGAACTATAATCACCTTCACTGAGACCTGGATTTCTGTCCAGCAGCCGTATCTTGGGACTCCACTGTAGACGTATATTGGGTGAAGCCTGATGAGTGCCCAGTGGTTTGGGGCTAGGAGAGCAGCAAGGGAAGGTGGAATGTGGCACTGGGAGGCAGCTACTGTGGGTGCCTTTCAAGCCTTGGTGATCATTGCCTCCGCATTTACTTGTCCCTGGATTCTTCTTTACATACAAAGCAGAGGTGTGTGGCAAACATCTGTTGATACAATCACAGGATGGAGATAAGAACCAGGGGACATGAGAGTTACATTTTCCTTTATGGCCTTCACTGAATCTCAGTATCTCCTATAGATGAAGGCATCCTGGCAACTCTGTGCAGAAGTACAAGTCACAAAACATGGAGAGTGCAGTAATTTTCTCCTTTTCCATCCCCCTAAATGCACAGGCCCAGCACTTTACAAACACTCAGTATCAGCATTTCAGGGCTGCTTCTGTGGTAAGATAAATAAATCTACATTCCATGCTAACTTAAGCTTAAAGTATCTCCTTAGATGGGAAGCCCAGGGCAATCTTTTCTGCCTGGTATTCCCTTCCTGTTTCATCCTCTTCAGCTCAGCTGCAGGCTCCCAGTGTGCCAGCTGCCAGGGTGGGGAGACGCAGAACCAGGCAGTTGCGGGAAGGTGCATTCATCATGCTGTATGAAGCTGTTACAATCCCAGCTGTCATCACTGTGATGCTCTCCCTCTAAATTGATTCACATGTGAATTTTCTCTCATGAGGGACAGAAGAAGGGGCAATAAAGCACAATATGCATGGAGTCAGAAGAGAATTAGAGGCATGTCTTCAGTTTGGTGAAGGATAGAGTAAGCAGCTCTGTTGCCCATTTTGCTGTGGCTCAAAAGTATTATGCATTTGTTTTGCAAATGTCATCTCAAAAGTTACTTCTGTTAGTTCTGCCAGCCTGCATCAGCCAGAGGATTGTCTCCTGCGTACTAAGCTAGAGCAGCAGCCCACAGAAGAGACCTCTCTGCCTCTTACAATTATCATAGTGTCCAAATCAGCACTTGTCATAAAAGAATGCCATCTGGATGCTAATATTTCAGCACACAGAGATCAAAGAAGATCAGGAACCACTGCTAAGATGCAGTATTTTTATGAATCAAAAACTGGCAAGAAGAGAAACAGCAAGTAATGGCGAAACCTTCTCATAGCAAGCAGCACTGTGCTTGCTTTGTCTGGGTCCTTCTGCTGTGTTGTTGCCACATTATTGTTTAATGATCTGGAGGGGATTTGAGCTGTGAGACACCAACATGTGCATATACAAAGTTTTTTAGGTTAATAATAAAACCTACCCAACCAAATAATAGGGAATCATGTATTCATTTCTTGCCAGGGCAGGTTTACCACAGTGCATTCAGGTTACTGCAAAAGACCATGATTTTTCTTGCAGCTGAGGCTGCAGACGCCAGCTGCCGAGTCCTACTGCTTCAGAGACATCCGTGCAGAGAAAGCACATGTTGTCTCAACTCCTGCACCAGTTCTGTACTCTTACCTAAGACGTAATCAACTTTTCTCCCCTCACAACAGTGGTGATATGATGCCCTGGTTCCCAGGACTTGTCCCATGCTTGTCCTTTTTAATGCAGTGCAAGTGGGAGGAAGACGAGGAACATTCCTGAGTTCAGCAGCAAGCTGTGCACATTTCCAGCACTCTTTTAATTATTAATTAATGCCAGCATTAGGTGATGAAAACTTTTTTTGTGTCATTGTCATCAACTGGTATGACTCACTGAGATGGAGGCTGGAAGATGCTGAGTAAGATGAGTTTATATACTTTGAGCTTATGGTATTTGGGGTTAATCTGTGACCCTGATCTGGACCGGGGATATAAACCTAGACTGTTGCTGAGTTTTGAGTCTAGCTGGCTCTTTTTTTACTTATTTTATTGAGCTGAGTGAAGAGACTTTCATGCCCCATGTGTATGCCTGGTGCACAGCAGAAGAGTGAGGTGAGTTTGCTCCAATCACAGAGCAAACAGGGTCTGTGCACGACTCTGCTCACAACTATCTGCACCTCCATAGCTTTTCACAAGCAAAGGTTGAGAGCTGGCTTAGATGCTCGAGCAGTGCAGCAGGCTAACCACAGTTACACAGCTCTTGGATTAGAGCTGGTTCTCATCCGGCCAGATCAGAGCACAGGGCAGAGCAAGTTACTATGGGTTTGCAGAAGGCCATGCAGAGGTAGTGTAACCACCCTGTGTTTCAAGGGGTGTGCAGTAAACAGCAACCAGCACATCTAAGGTATCATGGGGACAAGTGTTCTTTCACACTGCACCCCCCTTTTTGTAGTCTTTTTGCTGTAAGGAGGTAGCTATGAGTATTACCACTTCAACCATGCCCTCCCATGTACTCTTTGCAGTTCAGACTTACGTGATTGATCCCTACAAATATCCAAACTGGACAACGTTAAATTAAAGCCATTGGTGTGTTAAAGCCAGGCTTTGAGCAAGGGGATTAGATACGTGAAGAGGTAGTAGTTGAAGCTGGTGTTGGCCAAGCTCTTGTATCCAAGGTTAGAAGTTGTCAGACAGTTAGTTGGGAACAGCTGTCCTGCCCCTGACAGGACCACAGGCAAATCACCTTAACTCTCTGTGCCCTCATTTCCCCTGTAAAATAGATGTAGGTGATGCATCCTCAGTAAAGTTCTCTGAGAGCTATGCATGAGCTGTGCTGAAGGGGAGAAAAGCATTATTTCCCTTCCATGAGTTATCTTCTGAAAAGCCTTAAACTTTGAAGCAAATAGGTTTGGTGCTCAGAGTTATCCCCTGGACACCTTTGGTGGTTCTCAGGTCTCTGGTCTTCTCTAGATGAGCTTTTTGATTGTGCAACTAAGCCATCATGTTTTGCATAGAGGGAGGTCATTTTGGCAAAATTTTGGAGTCTGCAGAGCCTGCATGTTGCACTGTTATAAATGTACTTGTCCACCACTGTACGTGTCCTCAGATCTTTACACAAAACATGTAATATGAAAGATTCATGAGGTTCAGGGTGTCAGGATAATGGTGTATCAGTAATAAACTAATCCCCGGCATTTCTAAGTTGTAGGCTGGGTCCTGTTTCCCGGCGGCTGCTGGGATGTAGAAAGCTGTGGGTGCCAGCAGAGGGCCCTCAGCCTTCCCTGCTCTAGGGAGCAGCGCTGCCCTTGTCCCGCGCGGCCGCCCCGCCAGCCCGCTCTGCCCCGCGTGTCCAGCTGTGCGCTGCAGCCAGCTGTGACCTAGAAGGAGTGCCACTTTTCCCTGGCAACCTTTAACTTTTGTCCATGTACTCCTTGGAACTCTGATCTACTGTGGGAGAGAAAAGGTCTCAAGGAATTATTCTTTTCACAATAATTTCCTAATGTGCCTTCTGCACATCTTCCAAGCCGATTTCCACCACCCACTCATTATGGCCTTGCTTGTCATTTGGGCCTGTTGTCAACTACTGCAAATCAGAAATCTGGATCATCACTGTCAGCATCATCCCTAGTGTTTATGTTTATTGGGTGGGCTTTGAGAAAACCAAGCTTGTTCCAAGGAGTGTTCTTCAGTCCTTACAGAACATAAAGGAATTACATGTACTCATTGGTCATAAAGGCAGAGCATATTCACAGAGTGTCAGAAGCTGGATTATTTGAGATCCCTAAGGAAGCCAGAGATGTTAAGCTCTATCTGATGACTTGCAGGGTTACATGTAATTTAGGCCCTGCTTCTGACTCTAGTTCAGTCCCTTCCAACCTTCACAGATGCTTTAGGGTGCAGGACGCTGTAACCCTTTCAGCACTTCGGTCAAACTTAATGTAAAGGAGATTTCCCTCTAGCTCTAAAATCCACTTTGAGGGGTTTTCCTGAAATATAAATAATTTTTCATGGCTAAGAATTTTTTTATATAAAGATGTTCTGATGAGGGAAATCCAAAAACAGCTGCTGTATTGCTCCAAGAAGGCAAAGAGGCTCATATGAGTAGAAACAGATGTGGCAATGGAGAGGGGAAGAAATGCAAAGCACAGGGGTTTTATTTTGGTCCAGAAATTGGCAAATGATATAAAGGGATGACTGAAGAGTTCACAGAGCCAGAAAGAAATCAAAACAACCCTGGAATCAAAGGAAAGCAGTTCTGGGAATTGTGGGCCTATAGGTATGAAAAATTCCTGGCTAAATTGGCTTTGGGGGAGCCAGCCTGGCTCATGTTCCCTTGACAGGCTGCAGTCACCAGACGTGGGGCGCTACTTTCAAACGTCTGCTTTCAGCTGTTATTTTCAGCAAGGTTTGTGTTTTAGTCATTCTTGGATTACTGTTTTGACTTCTCTGATTGGACTGAAACATTGGTTTAGTGCAAGCAAATGGCTTGTTGTTCTTGCTATGGACTTTTTGTTGGTGATGGGTAAAACTGAGGATATTTTGAGAGAAATGTAGGAACTGAAGGTGGGACTAAAACACAACTCAGGATGACAGACTGTTCCTGACTCCAGTTGCAAGTAGGGCTGGCAGGAGGCAAAAGACCCAATGTGTGTTTCTTATTCCTCTCCCATATATCTAAACACTTCTATATGTGTGTGCTCTTTTTAATCACATGTAAAGAAATTTAACTGTTCCCAGTGTTTTCCTAATGTATGACAGTGTCTCCTCAAGTTCTTAATTTCTTCTTTATACTCTTCCTGCTTTTTTTTTTTTTTTTTCCCTGTGATCTAAGC